GTTGCGCTGCGCTACGAACCCGGCGACCCGAGTTCAATTCCCACTCACGGCCAACACCGGTGACGGCGATTATCTGAACCGGTCATGGGCCTCCTCCCCTAGGTTGACTCAGCCTCAAATGAGTACCTGGTGCGATGTGTAGTGAACATCGCCACTGGGGAGACCAAGGCAGTCGAGTGTGGTGCTGGTCTTCATAGGTGCTGCTCGCTAACTGCACTTGCCCCAGCAGTCTGTTTAGGCTATTTGAGGGATCTTTGTGTGTGAGTGCTCTACCCCTGTTATACAGAGTGAGTGCGTGTGTGAGTGTGAGTGCTCTACCCCTGTTATACAGAGTGAGTGAGAGTGCTCTACCCCTGTTATACAGATTGAGTGCGTGTGAGTGTGAGTGAGTGTGTGTGAGTGAGAGTCAGTGAGTGAGTGTGAGTGAGAGTGTGAGTGAGTGAGATTGAGTGTGTGAGTGAGTGTGAGTGAGTGTGTGTGAGTGAGAGTGAGTGTGTGTGAGTGAGTGAGTGTGTGTGAGTGTGTGTGATTGTAAGTGAGTGTGAGTGTGTGAATGAGTGAGTGTGAGTGAATGAGTGTGAGTGTGTGAGTGAGTGTGAGTGAGTGAGTGTGAGTCTGAATGAGTGTGAGTGAGAGTCAGTGAGTGAGTGAGAGTAATCGAGTGAGTGTGAATGAGTGTGTGAGTGAGTGTGAATGAGTGAGTGTGAGTGAGTGAGTGTGTGTTCTTCCCCTGTTATACTGTGGAGTGTGTGTGTGTGAGTGAGTGTGAGTGAGTGATTGTGAGTGAGTGTGTGTGATTGTGAGTGAGTGTGAGTGAGTGCGAGTGAGTGTGAGTGATTGTGAGTGAGTGAGTGTGTGTGAGAGTGAGTGTGTGTGAGTGTGTGAGTGTGTGAGTGTGTGTGAGTGAGTGTGAGTGAGAGTGAGTGAGTGTGTGTGAGAGTGAGTGTGAGTGTGTGAGTGAGTGTAAGTAAGTGAGTGTGTGTGAGTGTGAGTGTGTGTGTGAGTGAGTGTGAGTGAGTGAGTGTAAGTAAGTGAGTGTGTGTGAGTGTGAGTGAGTGTGAGTGAGTGTGTGAGTGAGTGTGAGTGAGTGAGTGATCTCCCCCTGCTCTGCATGGCACCCTCCAGGTTCTCCGCTCCCCTCCTACAGCTAAACCCACACCCACAGTGGAACTGGAAGCGGCCACATCCACACCCCACTGCTCAACAATTCCCTGCAACAAACCCCTCGACTGGGATCTCACAGCAGCAGCAGCATCGCCACCTCCTACTGCCAACACTTGGCAGGAGCCTCCTCCTGACAACGAGGTCTTGAGAGTCTCCCGGACGATCAAGTGGAATAATAAATGTATCAGTAGTAATAACGCCACTGTACAGCACGACTGTGAAATCCCGCACGGGATTTTTTTGTTTTTACCTTTTCTCTTTGGAGGCTCAGAGGGGATGATGTGGAAGTCGTCTGCAATGACAACGTCAACAACAACGACTATTAGCACGGTTGGCTACGTAGGGTGCAAACGAAGTTCAACGCACGAGCATTCAGGCATAGCCGGGTTGATGCCCAGGATGCGTTGCTGAGAGAACAAACTTGGAAATTACGTAGAATGGCAGCACGAAGATGGGATGGTGGATTGGAACATGGAACATGGTACAGAGCCTACTACTACAAGTAGTAGTGCTACTACTAGAGAGGGGATGGTGGATGGTACAAAACCTACAGTAGTACCGGTACTACTACTAGTAGTAGTACCAGTACTACTACTAGTAGTAGTACCAGTACTACTACTAGTAGTAGTACCAGTACTACTACTAGTAGTAGTACCAGTACTACTACTAGTAGTAGTACTAGTTGTCATGTTGACACACGTGTGCCAGAACCAGGGTGCTTACCGGTATGGGATGGTTGTGATAGTTGTGATAGTTGTGTATTCCTGGCCGGGACCCACTGGGGGAGGGAGGGGGCTGTGGGCAGTGTCTACAATCCCCCAGAGCCCCGCCCCTCTGTGGGGAGCGGTACAAACCGGTCCGGACCGGTCGGGCCAACGGCGGTTAGAACCCCTCTGAGGGGAGGGGGCTGGGGGAAGCTACGATCCCCCAGAGCCCCGCCCCTCAGGGAGGGAGAGTATATAAGGCGGGTCCCTGAGAGAGCGAGTCAGTCCGTCTCAAGCCGAAGCCAGAAGCCGCCTGGAGAAGACCCTGGACCCCAAGCCGCCGCCGTCCTTCTGAGGGCCGGGGCTCAGTGCGGTGGCAGTGTTCAAGAGGTTAGGACCCTGAGGTTCCCTCGGCCTGATGTCCTTGTGAGGGCCGGGTCCGGACGGGCCAGCGGTGGGTCAGCCTCCCCGAGGTCTAGCCAGCCGGAGGGCTGGAGTAGGGAGAGTTGTAGGTACGATAGCCCAGAGGCTGTACCTCCCCAGGTTGTGGGTGAAAGGGGCCACATTACCCCTTTGTGTTAGAGTTTAAGTGTAAACTGTTACGGTATAATAAACCGTGTTGCCTCTATGACGACTCAGTCTCCCTACAAGAACATTACAGTAGCACTAGTAGTAGCACTACTACTAGAGAGGGGATGGTGGATGGTAACGTGGTACAGAACCTACTAGTAGTGGTAGTTATACTAAGTTATGATTATAATTTATTTATTTCCCGAGGGGGCTGAGTTGGTGCGTCTGCCGTGCCTTCTGGGGTCAGCAGCTGCAGCTGTTGCTGCTGAAGCTGCTGAAGCTGCAGCTGCTGCTGCTGCTGCAGCTGCTGCTGCTGCTGCATTCGGACGCTGCCCTGAGATCGCTCCTCCTCCTCTTCCTCCTCCTCCTCCTCTTCATCCTCATCCTCCTCCTCATCCTCCAGGGACTGGTGCACTCCACTCCCGCCTGCGGCAGAAACGCACGGCATGGGAATGTGGAATTTCCTGTCGGTTCCACCCCGTCGCAAAAGCGGCCACCGAGACCCATAGACTCGTCACACAGAAACCCACAGACTCGTCAAACAGAGACCCACAGACTCACCACACAGAGACCCACAGACTTTTACAGACTCACAGAGACCCACAGACTCACACTGAGACCCACAGACTCACCACACAGAGACCCACAAACTCACCACACAGAGACCCATAGACTCATCACACAGAGACCCACAGACTCACCACACAGAGACCCACAGACTCACCACACAGAGACCCACAGACTCACCACACAGAGACCCACAGACTCATCACAGAGACCCACCGACTCACCACACAGAGACCCACAGACTCATCACACAGAGACCCACAGACTCACCACACAGAGACCCATAGACTCATCACACAGAGACCCACAGACTCATCACACAGAGACCCATAGACTCATCACACAGAGACCCACAGACTCACCACACAGAGACCCACAGACTCACCACACAGAGACCCACAGACTTTACAGACCGAGACCCCAGACTCACACGAGACCCACAGACTCACACTAGAGACCCACAAACTCACCACACAGAGACCACAAGACTCAGTCCACACAGAGACCCACAGACTCACCACACAGAGACCCACAGACTCACCACACAGAGACCCACAGACTCACCACACAGAGAGCCCACAGACTCACCATCACAGAGACCCACCGACTCACCACACAGAGACCCACAGACTCATCACACAGAGACCCACAGACTCACCACACAGAGACCCCACAGACTCACCACACAGAGACCCATAGACTCATCACACAGAGACCCACAGACTCATCACACAGAGACCCATAGACTCATCACACAGAGACCCACAGACTCACCACACAGAGACCCACAGACTCATCACACAGAGACCCACAGACTCACGACACAGAGACCCACAGACTCACCACACAGAGACCCACAGACTCACCACACAGAGACCCACCGACTCACCACACAGAGACCCACAGACTCACCACACAGAGACCCACAGACTCACCACACAGAGACCCACAGACTCACCACACAGAGACCCACCGACTCACCACACAGAGACCCACAGACTCATCACACAGAGACCCACAGACTCACCACACAGAGACCCACAGACTCACTCACACAGTAGACCCACAGACTCACCCACAAGACCCAGAGACTCACCACACAGAGACCCCAGACTCACCACACAGAGACCCACAGACTCACACAGAGACCCACAGACTCACCACACAGAGACCCACAGACTCCACACAGAGACCCACAGACTCACCACACAGAGACCCACAGACTCACCACACAGAGACCCACCGACTCACCCACAGAGACCCACAGACTCACCACACAGAGACCCACAGACCACCACACAGAGACCCACAGACTCAGCCACACAGAGACCCATAGACTCACCACACAGAGACCCACAGACTCACTCACACAGAGACCCACAGACTCACACACAGAGACCCACAGACTCACACACAGAGACCCACAACTCACCACACAGAGACCCACAGACTCACCACACAGAGACCCACAGACTCACCACACAGAGACCACCGACTCACCACACAGAGACCCACAGACTCACACACATAGACCCACATGGACTCGTCACACAGAGTACCCACAGACTCACCACACAGAGACCATAGCTCACCACACAGAGACCCCATACTCACAAACAGAGACCCACAGACTCACCACACGAGACCACAGACTCACCACACAGAGACCCACAGACTCACCACACAGAGACCCACAGACTCACCACACAGAGACCCACAGACTCACAACAGACTCGACCACAGAGACCCACAGACTCATCCACACAGAGACCCACAGACTCACCACACAGAGACCCAACAGACTCACCACACAGAGACCCATAGACTCACTCACACAGAGACCCACAGACTCACCACACAGAGACCCACAGACTCACCACACAGAGACCCACTAGACTCATCACACCAGAGACCCACAGACTCACCACACAGAGACCCACAGACTCACCACACAGAGGACCCCAGACTCACCACACAGAGACCCACAGACTCCCACACGAGACCCACAGACTCACCACACAGAGACCCAACAGACTCACCACACAGAGACCACAGACTCACCACACAGAGACCCACAGACTCACCACACAGAGACCCACAGACTCACCACACAGAGGACCCACAGACTCACAACAGAGACCCACAGACTCACCACACAGAGACCACAGACTCACCACACAGAGACCCACAGAACTCACCACACAGAGACCAACAGACTCACCAAACAGAGACCCCACAGACTCACCACCAGAGCTCGCCCAACACAGAGAGCCACAGACTCACCACACAGAGACCAATAGACTCACCACACAGAGACCCACAGACTCACCACACAGACCCACAGACTCACACAGAGACCCACAGACTCACCACACAGAGACCCACAGACTCACCACACAGAGACCCACAGACTCACTACACAGACCCACAGACTCACACAGAGACCCACAGACTCACCACACAGAGACCCACAGAGACCCACAGACTCGCCACACAGAGAGCCACAGACTCACCACACAGAGACCCACAGACTCACCACACAGACTCACCACACAGACCCACAGACTCACACAGAGACCCACAGACTCACCACACAGAGACCCACAGACTCACCACACAGAGACCCACAGACTCACCACACAGAGACCACAGGAACCACAGAACCACAGAGCGCCACAGACTCGACCACACAGAGAGCACAGAACTCACCACACAGAGACCCACAGACTCACCACACAGAGACCCACAGACTCACCACACAGAGACCCACAGACTCACCACACAGAGACCAATAGACTCACCACACAGAGACCCACAGACTCACCACACAGAGACCCACAGACTCACCACACAGAGACCCACAGAGACCCACAGACTCGCCACACAGAGAGCCACAGACTCACCACACAGAGACCCACAGACTCACCACACAGAGACCAATAGACTCACCACACAGAGACCCACAGACTCACCACACAGAGACCCACAGACTCAATCTTAATTTTGGAGCTTTCGTGACTGCAGGAATTATTCTTTGTTTTTTTCGGTAAAGTCACGTATAAAGACTTGTCACACAGAGACCCACAGACTCACAGAGACACCCACACCCACTTCCCACAGTAGCACCAGCACACGCTCACTGCTTCTCGGCACCGGTGCCACCGTGCTGGTGAGTGCGCCGGTGCCACCGTGCCGGCTTGGCGGCCACCTTGTTGCTGCTGCTGCAGCTGCTGACGGCCGCCATCGTCGCCGCCGTAGCCGTCGTCGTGGGCGATGGCGCCGCCGCCGCCGGCGCAGTTGGTCTTGCAGTGCTGCACGAGGGTGCGCCGGTGCTTGAAGTCCTTGCCGCAGGCGTCGCAGCGGAACTCGCGCACGTCGCTGTGCGAGCGCCGGTGGTGCACCAAGCTCTGGGACCAGCGGAACGCCTTGCCGCACTCCTGCACATGCGCGGAGAGAGACACGGGGAGGGGACGGAGAGATGATGGGGGAGAGGAGAGCCGGAGAAATGGAGAGAGATGGGGTGCGAGAGGGGGGTGGATGGGGGTGGAGGGAGAGAGAGTTGGAGAGAGATGGAGAGACGGGGTGCGAGAGGGGGGTGGATGGGGGTGGAGGGAGAGAGAGTTGGAGAGAGATGGAGAGACGGGGTGGGAGAGGGGGGTGGATGGGGGTGGAGGGAGAGAGAGTTGGAGAGAGATGGAGAGAGACACGGAGGCAGGCAGACAGAGCGACAGCGAAGCGATCCCCTTCTGATCGATGAGAAAGCCAAGTGGGAGAATGAGCGTGTGACTGTGTTTGTGTGACTTTGTGGGGAGCGGTAGTGTAGCGGTTAGCGCGCTGCGCTATGAACCTGGCGACCCGGGTTCGATTCCCGCTCACGGCTAACACCAGTGACGATTATCTGAACCGGTCCTGGGCCTCCCCTAGGTCGACTCAGCCTTAAATGAGTACCTGGTGCGGTGTGTAAACATCGCCACTAGGGAGACAAAGGCGGTCGGGCGTGGTGCTGGCCACCCACCCCCTCGTGTACCGTTCCGGCCTTCATAGGTGCTCGCTAACAGCACTTGCCCCTACAGTCTGTTAAGGCTATACGGGGGATCTTTGTTTGTTTGTGTGACTGTGTGCGTGTGACTGTCTGGCAAAACAACCCCCTACACCTCCTCGCGGTGCCGGACGGGCAACTCTGTCGTGGGCAGTGCTGTGGGGGGAGGGCCAATGCCCATTGGCCTCTCCCCTCATGGCGTCTGTGACCACCACAGTGGCTAAACGGGGGCTCTGGACGGGTGCAAGGGGCTGGTAACCCCTCCACCTTCAATTAATTACCACGAAACCACGAATTAAACATAAACCTGTAACAAATAAGCTTGTGCCGGAGGCCCCGGGGGGACAGGCGTTTATGACGTCTCCTGGCCAAACCCCAATTGGCGGAGCCAGGAGATTGAATCTTCACCCTCGGGGCTCCTCCAGAAACAACGAAAAACCATTGCGGATGGCCACGTGGAATGTTCGAACGCTCACTGCGGAGGAAAGGTTGCCACTCCTTTGTCGGGAGCTGGACCGGTACCGCCTGGATCTCTGTGGCATTCAGGAGGTCCGGTGGACCGGTTCTGGCTCCTGCCATCATGAGGGGTGGACAGTCCTCCACTCGGGACAGGAGACTGCCAAACAACAGGGTGTGGCTCTTCTTTTGAACAAAAGAATGAAGGGGGCGTGGGAGCGTGGCGGTGAGGTGTGGGAAGCTGTAAGCCCCAGGATACTTTGGGCTCGCCTTCCCATCAACCGGAGGCGAGGAGTGGTGGTCGTGGTTACTTATGCCCCCACCGAAGACGAACATCCGTGGAGGGATGCAGGCAAAGCCGATGAGTCAGATACCTTCTATGACCTCCTGCCACAGGTGCTGGCTAAAGTGGCCACTCGGGACAGAGTTATCTTGTTGGGTGACTTCAATGCCCGAGTTGGTCATGATGCTGGCACCTGGTCTGGAGTGATTGGAAGGCATGGGCCAGATCAGCTCAATAACAACGGTAGGAGGCTGCTAGATTTTTGTGCAGCCCATGGGCTTGTAATTACCAACACGCTCTTCCGGCATCGGCGCATCTACACAACATCATGAACGCATGCCGGGTCCAAGCAAGAACATCTGCTGGACTACATAGTGACGGACCAGCGGATGCGAGCCCATGTCCTCGACACCAGGACCTACCGTGGAGCTGATCTGCCCTCTGACCATCGACTAGTCATCAGTAAGATGCGCCTGCTATTCTTCCACTCCGGTGGTGGGTGTACACCCAGGACCCCATTCGAACCTAAAGTGGCCTGGTCTCAGTTAGCTGATGAAAGTTGCAAGCGAGAATTTCATCATCGCTTGCGGCTGGGGTTGGCATCGTCCCCCACTCCTACTGATGTCGAGGGTAAATGGGCGAAGTTTAGGACTGTGACTCATGCAGCGGCAATGGCTGCTTTAGGTACGCGGTCCAGACCTCCCCAGAAACCCTGGCTGACAGAGGAGGTGTTCAGGTTAGTTGAGAAAAAGCGACAGGCCCACTCTCATCGGCTACAGAATCCCACGTCAGAGAATGAGGAGGTTTACCGCAGCCTTCGCTTGGAGGTTCGGAGAGCCGTAAGGCGCTGCAAGGATGGGTGGTGGTCGCGGGTTGCTGAGGAGATGGAGTCTGCCTCAGTGGCCCGCGATCACAAATCACTATTTAATTCCATCAAAAAAGTAACCTGCAGCGCCACACCTATTACCATCATTAGGGGAAATAACGGTGATCCAATCTCCGACCCCCAGGAACAGGTTTGCAGATTTGTTGAGCATTTCTGTGAGGTCCTGGGGGAGGGGAAATCCCTCAGCCAGGAAAACATCATTGGACAAAGTGGGGATAACCCTGCTGAGGCTGCGGTGCCTCAAATATTGGAAGAGGTCACCCCCTGTGAGTGGCTGGCTGAGGTGCCATCTGTTGAGGAAGTACTGAGGGCGATCCGGAGTCTGAGACTAGGAAAGGCAACGGGCAGAGATGATCTCCCAATCGAAATGCTCAGGGAGGGTGGCGTTTGTGCACAGACTGCCCTACATGACATCATAACAACAGTCTGGACCACTAGACAGGTTCCGCAGGATTGGAAGGATGCCCTGGTGGTCCCCCTCTTTAAGAAGGGGGACCGCACAGACTGTAACAACTACAGGGGCATCTAACTCCTCAGTGTGCCGGGAAAGGTCCTGGCAAGGATTATTCAACATTGCCTTGCTAGGCACGCTGAGGAGGGGCTTGCGGAGCCCCAATGCGGTTTCAGGAAAGGACGGTCCTGCACAGATGCCATATTTTCTGTCCGTCTGCTACAGCAGAGATGTAGGGAATTCCAACAAGACCTATATCTCTGCTTTATTGACCTGGTCAAGGCCTATGATACCATCAGTAGGCCTGGGCTCTGGGTTGTTCTTCATGCTTTCGGAGTCCCTGACCCTCTGCTCATGATCATTAAGGACCTTCATGATGGTGAGCGGGCCCGGGTAAAACTATGTGGCCGGGAGTCAGAGCCTTTCCCTGTACACCTTGGGGTGCGGCAGGGATGTCCTCTGGCTCCCACATTATTTAACATCTATTTTGACCGCGTAGTTCGTGAAGCCTTCAATAGCTGTACCGGGGGAATTTCCATTTGGTACAGATATAATGGGAGGCTGATCGATGCCCGGGTGTGATCAAGGGATGGCTCCCTATTGGTCAACCACGTTATGTATGCCGATGATTTGGTAATAGCTGCTCATTCAGAGGAGGAGTTGGAGACGCTGCTGCTGAGACTGGAGCGTGCCACTAAGAGGTGGGGCCTTACCATCAGCCCCACCAAAACTAAGCACCTGCCTGGGTATTTGTACCATCGGACATTCCACCCCCACAACTCCCAATCGGTGATGGGGCAGTAGTGGAGAGAGTGGAGAGTTTCCCATACCTGGGCAGTGTGCTTATGACCGGCTCCAGTTTAACAGCAGAGGTCTCACTCCGAATCAGTCGAGCGGCAATATTTTTTCATCGGTTGCGTAACGCTGTGTGGAAGCTACCTGGTCTGTCGCTCTGCACAAAGCTTCAGGTCTTCTCGGCCACAGTCATTCCATCCCTTCTCTACGCTTGCGAAACGTGGACCCCCCTAATGGAGCATCTTCGCCGGTTGGAAACATTTAGGCTGGCCTGCCTACGATCCATCCTGGGTTTAACCAGGCTGGATTGTGTGAGGCGCTCACAAATCCTTGAAAGATCTGGGCAAAGTCCCATCGGTGAGCTCCTCCGGCAGGCAAGGCTGCGTAGGCTGGGTCATGTAGCCTGCATGCCCAGCCACTGCATGCCTAAACCAGCTTTTGTTTGGCCGGATCGAGGGGGCTAAACGGGCGCGGCACGGGCTAGAGAAGAGATGGAGTGACGTGGTACAGGAGGACGTGGAGCTGAGTGGACTTGCCGATGACTGGTACCAGCGGTGTCAAGATCGGCCTCAGTGGAGGAGGCTCGTGAAGGACGCTACTGGGCAGTTGGAGGCAGTCGCCCTCCAACAACAACGGAGGGCGGAGGAGCGACGCTCACAACAACGAGCGGAGCGCCGGGTGGCTAAAGCACAGCAAGTTGGCACAGTAGGGGGCACAGGTGGTGCATCAGCCAGTCATCTCGGTCATCTCGGTCAGTCGACCAGTGGCACCTGCTGGGTCTGCCCCGTGACCTCCTGCCAGCGGGCTTTCGACACTTCACGTGGCCTCAAGGTGCACATGGCCTGGCACAAGCGTCGTGGTGACGTCACCGCCACTTAGTGGCGAATGGCGGTTGTTGTTGTGCGTGTGACTGTGTGTGTGTGTGTGACCTGGTGGGGAGTGGTGGTGTAGCGGTTAGCGCGCTGCGCTATGAACCTGGCGACCCGGGTTCGATTCCCGCTCACGGCTAACACCAGTGACGATTATCTGAACCGGTCCTGGGCCTCCCCTAGGTCGACTCAGCCTTAAATGAGTACCTGGTGCGGTGTGTAAACATCGCCACTAGGGAGACAAAGGCGGTCGGGCGTGGTGCTGGCCACCCACCCCCTCGTGTACCGTTCCGGCCTTCATAGGTGCTCGCTAACAGCACATGCCCCTACAGTCTGTTAAGGCTACACGGGGGATCTTTGTCTTTGTCTTTGTGTGTGACTGTGTGTGTGACTGTGTGTGTGACTGTGTGTGAGTGTGTGACTGTGTGTGTGACTGTGTGTGTGTGTGTGACTGTGTGTGTGACTGTGTGTGTGACTGTGTGTGTGTGGGTGTGTGAGTGTGACTGTGTGTGTGTGTGAGTGTGACTGTGTGTGTGTGTGACTGTGTGTGTGTGTGAGTGTGACTGTGTGTGTGTGTGACTGTGTGTGATTGTGTGACTGTGTGTGTGAGTGTGACTGTGAGTGTGAGTGTGACTGTGTGTGTGAGTGTGTGTGTGACTGTGTGTGTGTGTGACTGTGTGTGTGTGTGACTGTGTGTGTGTGACTGTGTGTGTGTGACTGTATGTGACTGTGTGTGACTGTGTGTGTGTGTGACTGTGTGTGTGTGACTGTGTGTGTGTGTGACTGTGTGTGTGTGACTGTGTGTGTGTGTGTGACTGTGTGTGTGTGAGTGTGTGACTGTGTGTGTGTGAGACAGTGTGTGACTGTGTGTGTGACTGTGTGTGTGACTGTGTGTGACTGTGTGTGTGTGTGTGACTGTGTGTGTGTGTGTGACTGTGTGTGACTGTGTGTGTGTGTGTGACTGTGTGTGTGTGTGAGTGTGTGACTGTGTGTGTGTGAGACAGTGTGTGACTGTGTGTGTGACTGTGTGTGTGACTGTGTGTGACTGTGTGTGTGTGTGTGACTGTGTGTGTGACTGTGTGTGTGACTGTGTGTGACTGTGTGTGTGTGTGACTGTGTGTGTGTGACTGTGAGTGTGTGTGTGTGACTGTGTGTGAGTGTGTGTGTGTGACTGTGTGTGAGTGTGTGTGTGACTGTGTGTGTGAGACTGTGTGTGTGTGAGACTGTGTGTGTGTGTGTGACTGTGTGTGTGTGTGACTGTGTATGTGAGTGTGACCTGGCAGGCGTAGGGCCGCTGCTCCGTGTGGATGATGGCGTGACGGTTGAGGTCGGCCTGCAGGGCGAAGCTCTTGCCGCACGCGCCGCACTTGAGGGGCCGCTCGCCCGTGTGCAGCGTCTGGTGGCGGAACAGGTCGGTGGACTGGCGGAACTCCTTGCCACACTCCTGCGGGGGGGGGACACACGGACACACACAGATACACAGAGATAGACATACACACACAGAGACACACATAGATACACAGAGATAGACATACACACAGAGACACACAGAGATACATGAAGATAGATACACACACAGACACACATAGATACACAGAGATAGATACACACAGAGATAGACATACAGACAGAGACACACAGAGACACACAGATAGACACACACACACACAGACACACAGATACACACAGATACACACAGAGATAGATATACACACAGAGACACATAGAGATACACACACAGAGATAGATATACACACAGAGACACACATAGATACACGGAGATGGATACACAAACAGAGACACACATAGATAGACATACACACACAGAGATAGACATACACACATAGAGATAGATATACACACACAGACACACACATAGATACACGCACTGATCTAGCTACAAACCAATAGCAACAACCGCCATGCGCCACGGCGCTTGTGCCAGACCAGGTACACTTTAAGGCCACCTGAAGTGTCGAACGTCCGCTGGAAAGAAGTCAGGGGGACAGACCCTGCAAGGTAGTCAACATCTCCTCGCCACCGTGATGATGACGAGAGACACACAAACTCCAAATATACACCAGGGTCGGGATCGAATCCACGACCTCCTGCGCACCAGGCGAGGTCGTTAACATCTTCTAGCCACCGTGGTGATGATGAGAGAGAGACACGCAAACTCCAAATGTACAGCAGCAGACGTCGTCAGGGTCGGGATGGAGCCCACGACCTGCTGTAGACCAGGCGAGGTAGTCAACATCTCCTAGCTACTGTGATGATGATGAGTGAGACGCAGACTCCAAATGTACAGCAGGCGTCGTCAGAGTCTGGATCGAAACCCAGGAACCTCCTCCTGCATACCAGGCGAGGTAGTCAACATCTGTGTGTGTGTGTGTGTGACGTACCAGGCGAGGTAGTCAACATCTGTGTGTGTGAGTGACGTACCAGGCGAGGTAGTCAACATCTGTGTGTGTGTGTGACGTACCAGGCGAGGTAGTCAACATCTGTGTGTGTGTGTGACGTACCAGGCGAGGTAGTCAACATCTGTGTGTGTGTGTGACGTACCAGGCGAGGTAGTCAACATCTGTGTGTGTGTGTGACGTACCAGGCGAGGTAGTCAACATCTGTGTGTGTGTGTGTGTGTGACGTACCAGGCGAGGTAGTCAACATCTGTGTGTGTGAGTGACGTACCAGGCGAGGTAGTCAACATCTGTGTGTGTGTGTGAGTGACGTACCGGGCGAGGTAGTCAACATCTGTGTGTGTGTGAGTGACGTACCAGGCGAGGTAGTCAACATCTGTGTGTGTGTGTGACGTACCAGGCGAGGTAGTCAACATCTGTGTGTGTGTGTGAGTGACGTACCGGGCGAGGTAGTCAACATCTGTGTGTGTGTGAGTGACGTACCAGGTGAGGTAGTCAACATCTGTGTGTGTGAGTGACGTACCGGGCGAGGTAGTCAACATCTGTGTGTGTGTGTGACGTACCAGGCGAGGTAGTCAACATCTGTGTGTGTGTGTGACGTACCAGGCGAGGTAGTCAACATCTGTGTGTGTGAGTGACGTACCGGGCGAGGTAGTCAACATCTGTGTGTGAGTGACGTACCGGGCGAGGTAGTCAACATCTGTGTGTGTGTGTGACGTACCAGGCGAGGTAGTCAACATCTGTGTGTGTGAGTGACGTACCAGGCGAGGTAGTCAACATCTGTGTGTGTGAGTGACGTACCAGGCGAGGTAGTCAACATCTGTGTGAGTGAGTGACGTACCAGGCGAGGTAGTCAACATCTGTGTGAGTGAGTGACGTACCGGGCGAGGTAGTCAACATCTGTGTGTGTGTGTGTGAGTGACGTACCAGGCGAGGTAGTCAACATCTGTGTGTGTGTGTGACGTACCAGGCGAGGTAGTCAACATCTGTGTGTGTGAGTGACGTACCAGGCGAGGTAGTCAACATCTGTGTGAGTGAGTGACGTACCGGGCGAGGTAGTCAACATCTGTGTGTGTGAGTGACGTACCGGGCGAGGTAGTCAACATCTGTGTGTGTGTGTGTGAGTGACGTACCGGGCGAGGTAGTCAACATCTGTGTGTGTGTGTGTGTGACGTACCAGGCGAGGTAGTCAACATCTGTGTGTGTGTGTGACGTACCGGGCGAGGTAGTCAACATCTGTGTGTGTGTGTGACATACCGGGCGAGGTAGTCAACATCTGTGTGTGTGTGTGTGAGTGACGTACCGGGCGAGGTAGTCAACATCTGTGTGTGTGTGTGTGTGACGTACCAGGCGAGGTAGTCAACATCTGTGTGTGTGTGTGTGTGTGACGTACCTGGCGAGGTAGTCAACATCTGTGTGTGTGTGTGTGTGACGTACCAGGCGAGGTAGTCAACATCTGTGTGTGTGAGTGACGTACCAGGCGAGGTAGTCAACATCTGTGTGTGTGTGTGTGTGTGACGTACCAGGCGAGGTAGTCAACATCTGTGTGTGTGAGTGACGTACCAGGCGAGGTAGTCAACATCTGTGTGTGTGTGTGACGTACCAGGCGAGGTAGTCAACATCTGTGTGTGTGTGTGACGTACCAGGCGAGGTAGTCAACATCTGTGTGTGTGTGTGACGTACCAGGCGAGGTAGTCAACATCTGTGTGTGTGAGTGACGTACCTGGTGAGGTAGTCAACATCTGTGTGTGTGTGAGTGACGTACCAGGCGAGGTAGTCAACATCTGTGTGTGTGTGACGTACCTGGCGAGGTAGTCAACATCTGTGTGTGTGTGTGTGTGATGTACCTGGCGAGGTAGTCAACATCTGTGTGTGTGTGTGTGAGTGACGTACCAGGCGAGGTAGTCAACATCTGTGTGTGTGTGTGACGTACCAGGCGAGGTAGTCAACATCTGTGTGTGTGTGTGACGTACCAGGTGAGGTAGTCAACATCTGTGTGTGTGTGTGACGTACCAGGCGAGGTAGTCAACATCTGTGTGTGTGAGTGACGTACCAGGCGAGGTAGTCAACATCTGTGTGTGTGAGTGACGTACCAGGCGAGGTAGTCAACATCTGTGTGTGTGTGTGTGTGACGTACCTGGCGAGGTAGTCAACATCTGTGTGTGTGTGTGACGTACCTGGCGAGGTAGTCAACATCTGTGTGTGTGTGTGTGACGTACCAGGCGAGGTAGTCAACATCTGTGTGTGTGTGTGTGACGTACCAGGCGAGGTAGTCAACATCTGTGTGTGTGAGTGACGTACCAGGCGAGGTAGTCAACATCTGTGTGTGTGAGTGACGTACCTGGCGAGGTAGTCAACATCTGTGTGTGTGAGTGACGTACCAGGCGAGGTAGTCAACATCTGTGTGTGTGAGTGACGTACCAGGCGAGGTAGTCAACATCTGTGTGTGTGAGTGACGTACCAGGCGAGGTAGTCAACATCTGTGTGTGTGAGTGACGTACCAGGCGAGGTAGTCAACATCTGTGTGTGTGAGTGACGTACCAGGTGAGGTAGTCAACATGTGTGTGTGAGTGACGTACCAGGCGAGGTAGTCAACATCTGTGTGTGTGAGTGACGTACCAGGCGAGGTAGTCAACATCTGTGTGTGTGTGACGTACCTGGCGAGGTAGTCAACATCTGTGTGTGTGTGTGAGTGACGTACCAGGCGAGGTAGTCAACATCTGTGTGTGTGTGACGTACCAGGCGAGGTAGTCAACATCTGTGTGTGTGTGACGTACCTGGCGAGGTAGTCAACATCTGTGTGTGTGTGACGTACCAGGCGAGGTAGTCAACATCTGTGTGCGTGTGTGTGTGTGACGTACCAGGCGAGGTAGTCAACATCTGTGTGTGTGAGTGACGTACCAGGCGAGGTAGTCAACATCTGTGTGTGTGAGTGACGTACCAGGCGAGGTAGTCAACATCTGTGTGTGTGAGTGACGTACCAGGCGAGGTAGTCAACATCTGTGTGTGTGTGTGAGTGACGTACCAGGCGAGGTAGTCAACATCTGTGTGTGTGTGTGAGTAACGTACCAGGCGAGGTAGTCAACATCTGTGTGTGTGAGTGACGTACCAGGCGAGGTAGTCAACATCTGTGTGTGTGTGTGAGTGACGTACCAGGCGAGGTAGTCAACATCTGTGTGCGTGTGTGTGTGTGACGTACCAGGCGAGGTAGTCAACATCTGTGTGTGTGAGTGACGTACCAGGCGAGGTAGTCAACATCTGCGTGTGTGAGTGACGTACCAGGCGAGGTAGTCAACATCTGTGTGTGTGAGTAATGTACCTGGTGAGGTAGTCAACATCTGTGTGTGTGTGTGAGTGACGTACCAGGCGAGGTAGTCAACATCTGTGTGTGTGTGTGAGTGACGTACCAGGCGAGGTAGTCAACATCTGTGTGTGTGAGTGACGTACCAGGCGAGGTAGTCAACATCTGTGTGTGTGAGTGACGTACCTGGTGAGGTAGTCAACATCTGTGTGTGTGAGTGACGTACCTGGTGAGGTAGTCAACATCTGTGTGTGTGTGTGAGTGACGTACCAGGCGAGGTAGTCAACATCTGTGTGTGTGAGTGACGTACCTGGTGAGGTAGTCAACATCTGTGTGTGTGAGTGACGTACCTGGTGAGGTAGTCAACATCTGTGTGTGTGTGTGTGAGTGACGTACCAGGCGAGGTAGTCAACATCTGTGTGCGTGTGTGTGTGTGTGTGTGACGTACCAGGCGAGGTAGTCAACATATGTGTGTGTGTGAGTGACGTACCTGGCGAGGTAGTCAACATCTGTGTGTGTGTGTGACGTACCTGGCGAGGTAGTCAACATCTGTGTGTGTGAGTGACGTACCAGGCGAGGTAGTCAACATCTGTGTGTGTGTGTGACGTACCAGGCGAGGTAGTCAACATCTGTGTGTGTGTGTGTGTGACGTACCTGGCGAGGTAGTCAACATCTGTGTGTGTGTGTGTGTGACGTACCAGGCGAGGTAGTCAACATCTGTGTGTGTGTGAGTGACGTACCAGGCGAGGAAGTCAACATCTGTGTGTGTGTGACGTACCAGGCGAGGTAGTCAACATCTGTGTGTGTGTGAGTGACGTACCAGGCGAGGTAGTCAACATGTGTGTGAGTGACGTACCTGGCGAGGTAGTCAACATCCGTGTGTGTGAGTGACGTACCAGGCGAGGTAGTCAACATCTGTGTGTGTGTGTGACGTACCAGGCGAGGTAGTCAACATCTGTGTGTGTGTGTGTGTGACGTACCTGGCGAGGTAGTCAACATCTGTGTGTGTGTGTGTGTGACGTACCAGGCGAGGTAGTCAACATCTGTGTGTGTGTGTGTGTGTGACGTACCAGGCGAGGTAGTCAACATCTGTGTGTGTGTGTGTGACGTACCTGGCGAGGTAGTCAACATCTGTGTGTGTGTGTGTGTGACGTACCTGGCGAGGTAGTCAACATCTGTGTGTGTGTGTGTGTGACGTACCAGGCGAGGTAGTCAACATCTGTGTGTGTGTGTGTGTGACGTACCTGGCGAGGTAGTCAACATCTGTGTGTGTGAGTGACGTACCAGGCGAGGTAGTCAACATCTGTGTGTGTGTGACGTACCAGGCGAGGTAGTCAACATCTGTGTGTGTGTGACGTACCTGGCGAGGTAGTCAACATCTGTGTGTGTGAGTGACGTACCAGGCGAGGTAGTCAACATGTGTGTGTGTGAGTGACGTACCTGGCGAGGTAGTCAACATTTGTGTGTGTGAGTGACGTACCAGGCGAGGTAGTCAACATCTGTGTGTGCGTGTGTGTGACGTACCTGGCGAGGTAGTCAACATCTGTGTGTGTGTGTGACGTACCAGGTGAGGTAGTCAACATCTGTGTGTGTGTGTGACGTACCAGGCGAGGTAGTCAACATCTGTGTGTGTGAGTGACGTACCAGGCGAGGTAGTCAACATCTGTGTGTGTGTGTGACGTACCAGGCGAGGTAGTCAACATCTGTGTGTGTGTGTGTGTGACGTACCAGGCGAGGTAGTCAACATCTGTGTGTGTGTGTGTGTGTGACGTACCAGGCGAGGTAGTCAACATCTGTGTGTGTGTGTGAGTGACGTACCAGGCGAGGTAGTCAACATCTGTGTGTGTGTGTGTGACGTACCTGGCAGACATACGGCTTCAGGCTGCCCGGGTGCTTGGTCAGGACGTGAGTCTCCGTGGCCTCGCGTGCCCCCGGCGGCTTGTTGATCTTCAGCGTGATCTTGATGTTCTCCTTCATCTTCTTCGCCTCCCTCTTCTTACCGTGACCTGCCGGAGAAATCGCGACGGCTGATCGCGGCTGATTCGCCGCGACGTTTGCGCGCGCGTGGTGCAGTTCTGTCGGGAGCGGTGGTGCAGCGGTTAGCGCCGCGCTGCGCTACGAACCCGGCGACCCGAGTTCGATTCCCGCTCACGGCCAACACCGGTGACGATTATCTGAACCGGTCCCGGGCCTCCCCTAGGTCGACTCGGCCTCAAATGAGGACCCGGTGCGGTGAGTAAACATCGCCACTGGGGAGACAAAGGCGGCCGGGCGTGATGCTGGCCACCCACCCCCTCGTGTGCCGTTTCGGCCTTCATAAGTGCTCGCTAACAGCACTTGCCCCTACAGTCTGTTAAGGCGACATGGGGGATATTTGGTGGTGGCAGTGGTGGTGGCGGTGGTGGCGGTGTTGCCGACAGCTTCTTACTCTGCAGGACGCCGAGGTCCACCGGCAGTTTGACTTTGCGGTGTCGGTGCGACCGGCGGACGTCCAGGTCCTCGGGATTGGAGTACACGCCTGCACAGACGCAGACGCGTCGACTCACCCACTCACCTCACTAACCTACTCACCTCGCTCACCCACTCACTCAACCACTCACTCACCCACTCACTCACCCACCCACCCACTCACTCACTAACCTACTCACTCACTCACCCACTCACTCAACCACTCACTCAACCACTCACTCACCCACTCAGCCACTAACCCACTCACTCACTCCCTCGCCCACTCACTCAACCACCCACCCACTCACCCACTCACTCACTCACCCACCCACTCACTCACCCACTCACCCACCCACTCACTCACTCACTCCCTCGCCCACTCACTCAAGCACCCACCCACTCACCCACTCACTCACTCACCCACCCACTCACTCACCCACTCAACCACCCACTCACCCACCCACTCACTCACTCACTCCGTCACCCACTCACTCCGTCACCCACTCACTCCGTCGCCCACCCACTCACTCACTCACCCACTCAACCACTCACTCACCCACCCACCCACTCACTCCGTCGCCCACTCACTCAAGCACCCACCCACTCACCCACTCACTCACTCACCCACCCACTCACTCACCCACTCAACCACCCACTCACCCACCCACTCACTCACTCCCTCGCCCACTCACTCAAGCACCCACCCACTCACCCACTCACTCACTCACCCACCCACTCACTCACCCACTCAACCACCCACTCACCCACCCACTCACTCACTCACTCCGTCACCCACTCACTCCGTCACCCACTCACTCCGTCGCCCACCCACTCACTCACTCACCCACTCAACCACTCACTCACCCACCCACCCACTCACTCCGTCGCCCACTCACTCAAGCACCCACCCACTCACCCACTCACTCACTCACCCACCCACTCACTCACCCACTCAACCACCCACTCACCCACCCACTCACTCACTCACTCCCTTGCCCACTCACTCAAGCACCCACCCACTCACCCACTCACTCACTCACCCACCCACTCACTCACCCACTCAACCACCCACTCACCCACCCACTCACTCACTCACTCCGTCACCCACTCACTCCGTCACCCACTCACTCCGTCGCCCACCCACTCACTCACTCACCCACTCAACCACTCACTCACCCACCCCCCCACTCACTCCGTCGCCCACTCACTCCGTCGCCCACCCACTCACTCACCCACTCACTCACCCACTCACTCACCCACTCACTCACCCACTCACTCACTCACCCACCCACCCACTCATTCACTCATCTACTCAGTCACTCACTCACCCACTCACTCACTCACCCACTCACCCACCCACCCACCCACTCACTCACTCCGTCGCCCACTCACTCCGTCGCCCACCCACTCACTCACCCACTCACTCACCCACTCACTCACCCACTCACTCACCCACTCACTCACTCACCCACTCACTCACCCACTCACTCACCCACTCACTCACCCACTCACTCACTCACTCACCCACCCACCCACTCACCCACCCACCCACTCATTCACTCATCTACTCAGTCACTCACTCACCCACTCACTCACTCACCCACTCACCCACCCACTCACTCACTCCGTCGCCCACCCACTCACTCACCCACCCACCCACCCACTCACTCACTCATCTACTCAGTCACTCACTCACCAACTCACTCACTCACCCACCCACCCACCCACTCACCCACCCACCCACCCACTCACTCACTCCGTGGCCCACTCACTCACCCACTCACCCACCCACTCACCCACTCACCCACTCACTCACTCGCCCACTCACTCACTCACCCACTCACTCACCCACTCACCCACCCACTCACTCACTCACTCACTCACTCACTCGCCCACTCACTCACTCACCCACTCACTCACCCACCCACTCACCCACCCACCCACTCACCCACCCACCCACCCACTCACTCACTCCGTCACCCACTCACTCCGTCGCCCACCCACTCACTCACCCACCCACTCACTCACCCACCCACTCACTCACCCACCCACCCACCCACTCACTCACCCATCTACTCAGTCACTCACTCACCCACTCACTCACCCACCCACTCACTCACTCACTCACTCCGTCGCCCACTCACTCCGTCGCCCACCCACTCACTCACCCACTCACTCACCCACTCACTCACCCACTCACTCACCCACTCACTCACTCACCCACTCACTCACTCACCCACTCACTCACCCACCCAGTCACCCACCCACCCACCCACTCATTCACTCATCTACTCAGTCACTCACTCACCCACTCACTCACTCACCCACTCACTCACTCACTCACCCACTCACTCACTCACTCACTCACTCAGTCGCCCACCCACTCACTCACCCACTCACTCACCCACTCACTCACCCACTCACTCACCCACTCACTCACTCACCCACTCACTCACTCACCCACTCACTCACCCACCCAGTCACCCACCCACCCACCCACTCATTCACTCATCTACTCAGTCACTCACTCACCCACTCACTCACTCACCCACTCACCCACTCACTCACCCACTCACTCACTCACCCACTCACTCACTCACCCACTCACTCACCCACCCAGTCACCCACCCACCCACCCACTCACTCACTCATCTACTCAGTCACTCACTCACCAACTCACTCACTCACCCACCCACTCACTCACCCACTCACCCACCTACCCACCCACCCACTCACTCACTCCGTCGCCCACCCACTCACTCACCCACTCACCCACCCACTCACCCACTCACCCACTCACCCCACTCGCCCACCCACTCACCCACCCACTCACCCACCCACTCACCCACCCACCCACTCACTCACCCACTCACCCACTCACTCACCCATCCACTCACCCACCCACCCACTCACTCACCCACTCACCCACTCACCCACCCACTCACTCACTCACTCCGTCGCCCACTCACTCGGTCGCCCACCCACTCACTCACCCACTCACCCACCCACTCACCCACTCACTCACCCACTCACTCACCCACCCACTCACCCACTCACTCACCCACCCACTCACTCACCCACCCACTCACCCACCCACTCACTCACCCACCCACTCACTCACCCACCCACCCACCCACTCACCCACTCACTCACCCACTCACCCACCCACTCACTCACCCACCCACCCACCCACTCACTCATCTACTCAGTCACTCACTCACCCACTCACTCACCCACCCACTCACCCACCCACCCACCCACCCACCCACCCACCCACCCACTCACCCACCCACCCACTCACTCACCCACTCGGTCACTCACTCACCCACTCACTCACTCACTCGCCCACTCACTCACCCACTCACTCACTCACCCACTCACCCACCCACTCACTCACCCACCCACCCACCCACTCACTCACTCACTCACTCACTCACTCGCCCACTCACTCACTCACCCACTCACTCACCCACCCACTCACCCACCCACCCACTCACCCACCCACCCACCCACTCACTCACTCCGTCACCCACTCACCCACCCACTCACTCACCCACCCACTCACTCACCCACCCACTCACTCACCCACCCACTCACTCACCCACCCACCCACCCACTCACTCACCCATCTACTCACTCACTCACTCACCAACTCACTCACTCACCCACTCACCCACCCACTCACTCCGTCGCCCACTCACTCCGTCGCCCACCCACTCACTCACCACTCACTCACCCACTCACTCACCCACTCACTCACCCACTCACTCACTCACCCACTCACTCACTCACCCACTCACTCACTCACCCACTCACTCACCCACCCAGTCACCCACCCACCCACCCACTCATTCACTCATCTACTCAGTCACTCACTCACCCACTCACTCACTCACCCACTCACCCACTCACTCACCCACTCACTCACTCACTCACTCACTCCGTCACTCACTCACCCACTCACTCACCCACTCACTCACCCACTCACTCACCCACTCACTCACTCACCCACTCACTCACCCACCCACTCACTCACCCACCCAGTCACCCACCCACCCACCCACTCATTCACTCATCTACTCAGTCACTCACTCACCCACTCACTCACTCACCACTCACCCACTCACTCACCCACTCACTCACTCACCCACTCACTCACTCACCCACTCACTCACCCACCCAGTCACCCACCCACCCACCCACTCACTCACTCATCTACTCAGTCACTCACTCACCAACTCACTCACTCACCCACCCACTCACTCACCCACTCACCCACCCACCCACCCACCCACTCACTCACTCCGTCGCCCACCCACTCACTCACCCACTCACCCACCCACTCACCCACTCACCCACTCACCCACTCGCCCACTCACTCACCCACCCACTCACCCACCCACTCACCCACCCACCCACTCACTCACCCACTCACCCACTCACTCACCCATCCACTCACCCACCCACCCACTCACTCACCCACCCACCCACTCACCCACCCACTCACTCACTCACTCCGTCGCCCACTCACTCGGTCGCCCACCCACTCACTCACCCACTCACCCACCCACTCACCCACTCACTCACCCACTCACTCACCCACTCACTCACCCACCCACTCACCCCACTCACTCACCCACCCACTCACTCACCCACCCACTCACTCACCCACCCACTCACTCACCCACCCACTCACTCACCCACCCACCCACCCACTCACCCACTCACTCACCCACTCACCCACCCACTCACTCACCCACCCACCCACCCACCCACTCACTCATCTACTCAGTCACTCACTCACCCACTCACTCACCCACCCACTCACTCACCCACCCACCCACTCACTCACCCACCCACCCACCCACCCACCCACCCACCCACTCACCCACCCACCCACTCACTCATCTACTCAGTCACTCACTCACCCACTCACTCACTCACTCGCCCACTCACTCACCCACTCACTCACTCACCCACTCACTCAACCACTCACTCACCCACTCACTCACCCACTCAGTCACTAACCCACTTAGTCACTCACTCACTAACCCCCTCACTAACCCGATCACTCATCCACCGACTCACTCACTAACCCACTCAGTCACTAACTCACTCACTCACCCACTCACTCACTCAACCACTCAATAATTCACTCAGTCACCAACCCATTCACTCACCCACTGACTCACTCAACCACTCAATCATTCACTCAGTCAATAACCCACTCACTCACTCACTAACTTACTCAAGAACCCACTCCCTCACTCACTCACCCACCCACCCACTCACTAACCTACTCACTCACCCACTCACCCACCCACCCACTCACTCCCTCGCCCACTCACTCACTCCCTCACCCACTCACTCACTCACCCACTCACTCACCCACTCATTCACTCACTCACTCACTCGCTCGCCCACTCACTCAACCACTCACTCACTCACTCATCTACTCAGTCACTCACTCACCCACTCACTCACTCGCCCACTCACTCAACCACTCACTCACCCACTCACTCATCTACTCAGTCACTAACGCACTCACCCACTCACTCACCCACCTACTCACTCACCCACTCACTCAACCACCCACTCAACCACTCACTCAACCACTCACTCACTGACCCACTCAATCACTAACCAACTCACTCAACTGCTCAATAATCCACTCAGTCACTAACGCACTCACTCACTAACTTACTCAAGAACCCACTCCCTCACTCACTCATCCACTCACTCACTAACCCACTTGCCCACTGAATCACTCACTCATATACTCACTCACTAACCCATTCGCCCACTGAATCACTCGCCAACTCGCCCACCCACCAACTCGCCCACTGAATCACTCACTCACCAACTCGCCCGCTCACCAACTCGCCCACTGAATCACTCACTCACCAACTCGCCCGCTCACCAACTCGCCCACTGAATCACTCACTCACCAACTCGCCCGCTCACCAACTCGCCCACTGAATCACTCACTCATATACTCGCCCGCTCACCAACTCGCCCACTGAATCACTCACTCACCAACTCGCCCGTTCACCAACTCGCCCACTGGATCACTCACTCACCAACTCGCCCGCTCACCAACTCGCCCACTGAATCACTCACTCATCAACTCGCCCGCTCACCAACTCGCCCACTGGATCACTCACTCACCAACTCGCCCGCTCACCAACTCGCCCACTGAATCACTCACTCACCAACTCGCCCGCCCACCAACTCGCCCACTGAATCGTTCACTCACCAACTCGCCCGCTCACCAACTCGCCCACTGAATCACTCACTCACCAACTCGCCCGCTCACCAACTCGCCCACTGAATCACTCACTCACCAACTCGCCCGCCCACCAACTCGCCCACTGAATCACTCACTCACCAACTCGCCCGCCCACCAACTCGCCCACTGAATCGTTCACTCACCAACTCGCCCGCCCACCAACTCGCCCACTGAATCACTCACTCAAATACTCGCCCGCTCACCAACTCGCCCACTGAATCACTCACTCACCAACTCGCCCGCTCACCAACTCGCCCACTGAATCGCTCACTCACCAACTCGCCCGCTCACCAACTCGCCCACTGAATCACTAACTCACTCACCAACTCGCCCGCCCACCAACTCGCCCACTGAACGACTCACATTCCCACTCGGTCTTCACGCTCTCCGTCTCTACCAGCAGGGCGCTGGCCACGGGAGACTCTCCGCGTGTCCCCGGCAGTCCGGCCGCCGTCGCCGCCGCGGCCGCCACGTTCGTCGCCGCCGTCGCCGTGGCGGCCGCCACCGCGGCCATCGTCGCCGCCGCGTCCGCCGCTGCGGCCGCCGCCTTGCGCTGCGCCGACCAGCGCTTGCCGGCCTTGGGGCCTTCGTCTGCCGTGGGGGGAGAGAGACGCGGTGAGATTCTCGCCGGCCCCTTCCGTCGCCCGTGCCGGACTACGTCTGCGGATGGCGCCTCGTGGCTCGTCGGACTCCTCCAGCAGTCTAAATCAAGATTGTGATGATGATGATAAAAGAAAAAAAATTAACCCGTAAAAACAAAGTTTTTCACTATAAATCCTTTATATGCGTGGCATCGGGGCGGCTAGAGTCCTCTGGCTTGAGATGGCTGCCACCTATGGGTCAGATGATTGTCTGGCAGCATTAAACAATTGGTAATTAAATATTTCATTTTTTTTCCCTAAAACTTGTAAAATTTAGGAATTTTTTTTCTCTCACGAAAATGCATTGTCACGCACAACGAGTCTGTGTGCAAAATGTCAGCTCGATTGGCTCACGGGAAGTGGGTTAAAAAACGACCGAAAGATTTGCACGGTCCTAAGCAAGCAAGTGAACTTAATATAAAGGATTTAAAAAGATGAAACTTGTGACAGCACACACGCATTGCTCGTTATTTCCATCCCTCTCACGGAGGGTCCTGCCGTGTGTTTGCAGTTGGGGGTGGCCGTGTTGCTGCTGCTGCTGTGTGGGTCTGGCCTAGGGGCACCCCCAGCGGCAGCTGCCCCTGTGCATCAGTCTGCCAGTAGGGGGTGGCGACGCTGCTGCTGCTGCTGCTGCTGCTGTGAAATCCCAGTCGAGGAGTTTGTTGCAGGGAATTGTTGAGCAGTGGGGGGTGGGTGTGGGTTTAGCTGTGGGAGGGGAGCGGAGAGCCTGGAGGGTGCCATGCAGAGCAGGGGGAGATCACTCACTCACACTCAATCTCACTTACAATTACACTCACTCACTCTCACTCACTCACACACACTCACTCACTCTCACTCACTCACACACACTCACTCACTCTCACTCACTCACACAAAACTCACTCACTCACACAAAACTCACTCACTCACACGCACTCACTTACTCACACACACTCACACACTCACTCACTCACACTCACACACTCACTCACTCACACACACTCTCACACACACTCACACACACTCACTCTCACACTCACTTACTCACTCACACTCACTCATTCACACACTCACACTCACTTACAATCACACTCACTCACTCACACTCACTCAATCTTCCTCACACTCACTCTTACTCACACTCACTCACTCACACTCACTAACTCTGTAGAACAGGGGTAGAACACACAAACCCCACTCGCTCATATACACTTTCGATTCTTCTATTTTCTCCATTTGTATTTTTTCCAGCTAAGGGCCCACTCAGCTGTATTGCTCTTCTTCGAAATGCGGAGGGGAAAAACCGGGGGGAGGAAAATCCACGCGGCCGCGGGGAGAGAGAGACACGCAAACTCAAAATATACAGCAGCGGCAGGAGTCAGGGTCGCGATCGAACCCACAGCCTCCTACAAACCAGGCGAGGAAGTCAACACATCTGCTAGCCACCGTATGCACGTTGAACTTCCTTCGCACCGTACATTAGCTCAACCGCGCCCATCGAAGGTGCGGATGGGAGGCAACGACGTCTGTGACGACGACGGCTCCCATCCTGCCCTTCACTCACGGCGGCCTTTGTTGTAGTTCCACCGCAAGCAGCTGCCACCACCGCTGCCGTCGGCCTTGCCGGACGACGACTTCCAAGCCCCGGATGATTCGGCCATTGCAGCCTCGCTCATCCTGCCCGTCACCAACAGCGGAGGCAACGATGTCTGGGAGGCGAGGGGGGGGGGTGGGCGGCTTGGGGTCGAGGGTCAACCTGAAAGTGGGATGGGGTCAGAGGTGGGGTCGGGGTTGGAGTCAGGAGGAGCGGTGGCATTGCGGTCGGCGCGCCGCGAGTCTCCGATGGCACGGGCACGGCTGGCGGGGGTGGTGAGCGATGATAGCGGTGATAGCGGTGATAGCGGTGACAGCGGTGACAGCGGTGACAGCGATGGTAGCGATGATAGCGGTGATAGCGATGATAGCGGTGATAGCGGTGATAGCGGTGACAGCGGTGACAGCGGTGACAGCGATGATAGCGATGATAGCGATGATAGCGATGACAGCGGTGACAGCGGTGATAGCGGTGATAGCGATGATAGCGATGATAGCGATGATAGCGGTGATAGCGGTGATAGCGGTGATAGCGATGATAGCGGTGATAGCGGTGATAGCGGTGATAGCGGTGACAGCGGTGACAGCGGTGACAGCGGTGACAGCGGTGACAGCGGTGACAGCGATGACAGCGATGACAGCGGTGACAGCGGTGATAGCGGTGATAGCGATGATAGCGATGATAGCGATGATAGCGGTGATAGCGATGACAGCGATGACAGCGGTGACAGCGGTGACAGCGATGACAGCGATGACAGCGGTGACAGCGGTGATAGCGGTGATAGCGGTGATAGCGGTGACAGCGGTGACAGCGGTGACAGCGGTGACAGCGGTGACAGCGGTGACAGCGGTGACAGCGGTGACAGCGGTGACAGCGGTGACAGCGGTGACAGCGGTGACAGCGATGACAGCGGTGACAGCGGTGATAGCGGTGACAGCGGTGACAGCGGTGACAGCGGTGACAGCGGTGACAGCGGTGACAGCGGTGACAGCGGTGACAGCGGTGACAGCGATGACAGCGGTGATAGCGGTGATAGCGGTGATAGCGGTGATAGCGATGATAGCGGTGATAGCGGTGATAGCGGTGACAACGGTGACAGCGGTGACAGCGGTGACAGCGGTGACAGCGGTGACAGCGGTGATAGCGGGGATAGCGGTGATAGCGGTGATAGCGGTGATAGCGATGATAGCGGTGATAGCGGTGATAGCGGTGATAGCGGTGATAGCGGTGATAGCGGTGATAGCGGTGATAGCGGTGATAGCGGTGATAGCGATGACAGTTGTCCAGCTATAGCGGAGGGGAGGGGAATTATATTGCCCCACGTGCTATCACATGCATGCAGCCGTCATGACTACCGTCACCATCACCACCAACATCACCACTATCACCACAATCATCACCACGATCGCCATAATCAAGAACACTATTACCACAATCATCACTATCGCCACCATCATCACCACCATCACCACAATCACCACAATCATCACCACTATCACCACCACAATCATCACTATCGCCACCATCACCACCACCATCACCACCATCGCAACAATCCTCACCACCATCACCACAATCATCACCACTATCACCATCATCATCACCACAACATGCAAACTCCCAAATATACAGCAGGCTTTCGGGTCGGGATCGAACCCACAATCTGCTGTCCTGTATGCAATCATCATCATCATCACCACCACAATCATCACCATCAACAACAACACCCGCCATTCACCACTAAGTGGTGGTGAAGTCACCACGGTGCCTGTGCCAGGCCAGGTGCTCATTTTAGCCACCCCTGGCGCTCTGCTCGTTGTTGTGAGCGTCGCTCCTCCGCCCTCCGTTGTTGTTGGAGGGCGACTGCCTCCATTTGTCCAGTAGCGGTCCTTCACAAGCCTCCTCCTAAGAGGCCGATCTTGACACTGCTGGTACCAGTCATCGGCAAGTCCACTCAGCTCCACATCCTCCTGTATGATCATCACTATCACCACAATCATCATCACTATTGCCACATCATCACCATCATCACCACAACAATCATCACCACCACAATCATCATTATCGCCACCCCCAACATCACCACAAAAATCACCACCACAATTATCATCACAAACACCGCCATTATCATCACCACCACCACCACAATCATCACCATCATCACCATCATTATTATCATCACTATCGCCACATAAAACACCACCATCACTACAGCAACCATCATCACTGACACCATTATCACCACCACTACAATCACCATCACTTTGATCATCGTCAGTGTCACAACCACCACAATCATCACCACCACAATCATAATCACCATCACCACAACAATCACCACCACTATCATCGTCACTAAAACCACCATCATCACCACAGCCATTACTATCACCAAAATCATCACTATCACCACCATCATCACCACTACCACCACAATCATCACCATCACCACCACTACAACCACAATCATCACTTTCATCACCACCACAATCATCACCACCACTACCACCACAATCATCATCATCACCACCACTACCACCACGATCATCACTTTCATCACCACCATAATCATCATCATCACCACCACTACCACCACAATCATCACCACCACCACCACAATCATCAGCATCACCACCACTACCACCACGATCATCACTTTCATCACCACCACAATCATCAGCATCACCACCACTACCACCACAATCATCACCACCACCACAATTATCATCACTATAACCACCATCACCACCACAATCATCACCATCACCACCACAATCATCACCATCACCACCACTACCACCACAATCATCACCATCACCACCACTACCACCACAATCATCACCACCACAATTATCATCACTATAACCACCATCACCACCACAATCATCACCATCACCACCACAATCATCACCATCACCACCACTACCACCACAATCATCACCATCACCACCACTACCACCACAATCATCACCATCACCACCACAATCATCACCATCACCACCACTACCACCACTACCACCACAATCATCACCATCACCACCACAATCATCACCATCACCACCACTACCATCACTATCAGCACCACTACCATCACAATCATCACCATCACCACCACTACCACCACAATCATCACCATCACCACCACTACCACCACAATCATCACCACCACTACTACCACAATCATCACCATCACCACCACTACCACCACAATCATCACCACCACTACTACCACAATCATCACCATCACCACCACTACCATCACAATCAGCACTATCAGCACCACTACCATCACAATCATCACCACCACTACCACCACAATCATCACCACCACTACCACCACAATCATCACCACCACTACCACCATCATCACCACCACTACCACCACCACTACCACCACAATCATCACCACCACTACCACCATCATCACCACCACTACCACCACCACTACCACCACAATCATCACCACCACTACCACCACCATCATCACCACCACAAACATCACCATCACCACCACTACCACCACAATCATCACCACCACTACCACCACAATCATCACCATCACCACCACTACAATCATCACCACCACTACCACCACCACTACCATCACAATCATCACCACCACTACCACCACCATCATCACCATCACCACCACCACAATCATCACCACCACCACCACTATCATCACCACCACTACCACCACCATCATCACCATCACCACCATCATCACCATCACCACCACCACAATCATCACCACCACTACCACCACCATCATCACCACCACCACCACCACACTCATCACCATCACCACCACTACCACCACAATCATCACCATCACCACCACTACCACCACAATCATCACCACCACTACCACCACCATCATCACCATCACCACCACTACCACCACCATCATCACCATCACCACCACCACAATCATCACCATCACCACCACCACAATCATCACCACCACTACCACCACCATCATCATCACCACCACCACCACAATCATCATCACCACCACCACCACCATCATCACCATCACCACCACCACAATCATCACCACCACTACCACCACCATCATCACCATCACCACCACTACCACCACCATCATCACCATCACCACCACCACACTCATCACCATCACCACCATCACCACCATCATCACCACCACCACCACACTCATCACCATCACCACCACCAGACACGTACTGACAGTCGTCTTTGTGAATGATGGTGGTGGTAGTGATGGTGGTAATGATGATGGTGGTAGTCATGGTGGTAGTGGTGGTAATGATTATAGAATACATCACAATCGTTAAGCGTTTAACCCTCTAAACCCGTGTTCGCCACCGTAACCTCACAACAACCACAACCACCACCACCATCTAATCGTCGTCGTTGTTGATGCTTTAGAATGGCACGGAGGCCGCTTACCTCCAACTCGCCCGCTCGCCGCCGCCGCCTCTCCCATCGCAGCGCGTTGCGAGGAGAAAACTCCGCCGCGAAATTAGCGATTTTAACTTTAAACAATTTTATATTTTAACGTTAAACCCTCACGGGGGGGGGGGGGGGGGGACTCTGTTTGCAGGAGACCCACGAAGCGGATTTTATCGTCTTGGAAGTGAATCGGGACTCAACCCAAAACCTCGGGCCTTCTAAGGCGGCGGGAACACGTTAAAAATCGCGACATTTAAACACAAACAACGAACACTTTGCACGGACGATTCGCTCGCCTTGCCTATTACGACTATCTAATACTTTAACACCGGGAAATAAAACATATAGACGATAACCTTGGCGTAGAGAGTGTAGTGTTGTTAATGAAGCTGACACACACGCGGCCCAGGCGTATAGACAATACTTGTGACTGGATGTATATCGCCTCCTATCGGCTAATTATGTTATTTTTTGTTAAATAAATAACTCATCAATAGCTTTTTCCAGCTCACAATCATCACTTTTTCCTCATAAATACTTTTTTAAAGTGCAAGGCGAGGACAGCTGAGTTCGTCACCCCTAGCCCGTGCCAGGCTAGGTGCACCTTGTGGAAGTGGTGTGCTTGGTGGTGGTGACGGGTGCTTACATATTAGTTACACGACTATCGTTACTATCGAAATAAAGTATAAATAGATCATCTTCACTTAAAGACAAAAGTGTGTTTAGTGAAGCTGACACACGCGGCAAAGGCGTTTTATCAATACTTGTGACTGGATGTGTCGCCTCCTGTCGCCAATTATTTGTTATTTTTTGTAAATAAATAGCTCATCAATAGCTTTTTCCAGCTCACAATCATCACTTTTTCCTCAGAAATACTTTTTAAGTGCAAGGCGAGGACAGCTGAGTTCGTCAACCATAGCCCGTGCCAGGCTAGGTGCACCTTGAAGCCATTGTGGAAGTGGTTTGGTTGGTGGTGGTGACGAGTGGTTACATATATTTGTTAAACGACTAACTATCGTTACTTTTCGATTTAAAGCTTTCGTGACTTCAGGGATTCATCTTCTTGGTTTTTTCGGTAAAGTCACGTAGAAGGGAAGTAATAAAATAATTAAAATAAAACATAAAAAAATGTTTTATTTTTATTATTTTATTATTTCCATTCTAAAACATAAAAAATAGTTATTTTTATTATTTTATTATTTCCATTCTACGTGACTTTACCGAAAGAACCAAGAAGATATCGTAACTTTGGCAATAAATTATAAATAGATAACCAAGGCGGTAGCCATGGAGTTAACATTGTGGGGGGCCAAATCGTCCAGGGGTCCCCCCCCCCAGAAAAATAAATAAATCTAAATTTGAAAACGAATTTCGTGCCATTTCCTGCCTAAAATATAAAAAAATTCACTGACACGTGCGATGGACTTTTTAATTAGTTTTTACAATAATGTCTAATAGTGTGTTGTGTTACACTGAATTTCGATTAAAAGCTTTCGTGACTGCAGGGACTCATCTTCTTGGTTCTTTCGGTAAAGTCATCACGTAGAAGGGAAATAAAGTAATACAAAGAAAACAATAAAATAAGAAAAATATTTTTCTTATTTTATTATTTTCCTTCTACGCGACTTTACCGAACATTGCTCTGTTTTTTATTTTTTACCTTTTCTTGTTTAATTGTGTGTAACGGCAGAGATTAGGGATTTATAAAGTACAACCATAACCACAATCATATAGACAGAAATCTATTTTATAGAAATGTATTGGGGGGGGGGGGGGCATTTGTAGCATATAAGAATATATATTATAATTACGGCCTTGTAGAGCACCTTCACTTAAAGACAAAAGTGTTTATAATGAAGCTGACACACGCGGCCCAGGCGTATAGACAATACTTGTGACTGGATGTGTCACCTCCTATCGGCTAATTATGTTATTTTTTGCTAAATAAATATCTCATCAATAGCTTTTTCCAGCTCACAATCACCACTTTTTCCTCAGAAATACTTTTTTTAAGTGCACGGCCAGGACAGCTGAGTTCGTCACCCCCAGCCCGTGCCAGGCTAGGTGCACCTTGTGGAAGTGGTGTGGTTGGTGGTGGTGACGGGTGGTTACATATTAGTTATACGACTATCGTTACTATCGAAATAAAGTATAAATAGATCACCTTCACTTAAAGACAAAAGTGTTGTTAATGAAGCTGACACACGCGGCCCAGGCGTTTTAACAATTATTGTGACTGGATGTGTCACCTCCTATCGCCAATTATTTGTTATTTTTTGCTAAATAAATAACTCATCAATAGCTTTTTCCAGCTCACAATCACCACTTTTTCCTCAGAAATACTTTTTTTAAATGCACGGCCAGGACAGCTGAGTTCGTCAACCATAGCCCGTGCCAGGCTAGGTGCACCTTGAAGCCATTGTGGAAGTGGTTTGGTTGGTGGTGGTGACGAGTGGTTACATATATTTGTTAAACGACTAACTATCGTTACTTTTCGATTTAAAGCTTTCGTGACTTCAGGGATTCATCTTCTTGGTTTTTTCGGTAAAGTCACGTAGAAGGGAAGTAATAAAATAATTAAAATAAAACATAAAAAAATGTTTTATTTTATTATTTTATTATTTCCATTCTAAAACATAAAAAATAGTTATTTTTATTATTTTATTATTTCCATTCTACGTGACTTTACCGAAAGAACCAAGAAGATATCGTAACTTTGGCAATAAATTATAAATAGATAACCAAGGCGGTAGCCATGGACTTAACATTGTGGGGGGCCAAATCGTCCAGGGGTCCCCCCCCCCAGAAAAATAAATAAATCTAAATTTGAAAACGAATTTCGTGCCATTTCCTGCCTAAAATATAAAAAAATTCACTGACACGTGCGATGGACTTTTTAATTAGTTTTTACAATAATGTCTAATAGTGTGTTGTGTTACACTGAATTTCGATTAAAAGCTTTCGTGACTGCAGAGACTCATCTTCTTGGTTCTTTCGGTAAAGTCATCACGTAGAAGGGAAATAAAGTAATACAAAGAAAACAATAAAATAAGAAAAATATTTTTCTTATTTTATTATTTTCCTTCTACGCGACTTTACCGAACATTGCTCTGTTTTTTTATTTTTTACCTTTTCTTGTTTAATTGTGTGTAACGGCAGAGATTAGGGATTTATAAAGTACAACCATAACCACAATCATATAGACAGAAATCTATTTTATAGAAATGTATTGGGGGGGGGGGGCATTTGTAGCATATAAGAATATATATTATAATTACGGCCTTGTAGAGCACCTTCACTTAAAGACAAAAGTGTTTATAATGAAGCTGACACACGCGGCCCAGGCGTATAGACAATACTTGTGACTGGATGTGTCACCTCCTATCGGCTAATTATGTTATTTTTTGCTAAATAAATATCTCATCAATAGCTTTTTCCAGCTCACAATCACCACTTTTTCCTCAGAAATACTTTTTTTAAGTGCACGGCCAGGACAGCTGAGTTCGTCACCCCCAGCCCGTGCCAGGCTAGGTGCACCTTGTGGAAGTGGTGTGGTTGGTGGTGGTGACGGGTGGTTACATATTAGTTATACGACTATCGTTACTATCGAAATAAAGTATAAATAGATCACCTTCACTTAAAGACAAAAGTGTTGTTAATGAAGCTGACACACGCGGCAAAGGCGTATAGACAATTATTGTGACTGGATGTGTCGCCTCCTATCGCCAATTATTTGTTATTTTTTGCTAAATAAATAACTCATCAATAGCTTTTTCCAGCTCACAATCACCACTTTTTCCTCAGAAATACTTTTTTTAAATGCACGGCCAGGACAGCTGAGTTCGTCAACCATAGCCCGTGCCAGGCTAGGTGCACCTTGAAGCCATTGTGGAAGTGGTTTGGTTGGTGGTGGTGACGAGTGGTTACATATATTTGTTAAACGACTAACTATCGTTACTTTTCGATTTAAAGCTTTCGTGACTTCAGGGATTCATCTTCTTGGTTTTTTCGGTAAAGTCACGTAGAAGGGAAGTAATAAAATAATACAAATAAAACATAACAAAATGTTTTATTTTTATTATTTTATTATTTCCATTCTACGTGACTTTACCGAAAGAACCAAGAAGATATCGTTACTTTGGCAATAAATTATAAATAGATAACCAAGGCCGTAGCCATGGAGTTAACATTGTGGGGGGCCAAATCGTCCAGGGGGTCCCCCCCCAGAAAAATTAAATCTAAATTTGAAAACGAATTTCGTGCCATTTCGAGCCTAAAATATAAAAAAATTCACTGACACGTGCGATGGACTTTTTAATTAGTTTTACAATAATGTCTAATAGTGTGTTGTGTTACACTGAATTTCGATTAAAAGCTTTCGTGACTGCAGGGACTCATCTTCTTGGTTCTTTCGGTAAAGTCATCACGTAGAAGGGAAATAAAGTAATACAAAGAAAACAATAAAATAAGAAAAATATTTTTCTTATTTTATTATTTTCCTTCTACGCGACTTTACCGAACATTGCTCTGTTTTTTATTTTTTACCTTTTCTTGTTTAATTGTGTGTAACGGCAGAGATTAGGGATTTATAAAGTACAACCATAACCACAATCATATAGACAGAAATCTATTTTATAGAAATGTATTGGGGGGGGGGGGGGGCATTTGTAGCATATAAGAATATATATTATAATTACGGCCTTGTAGAGCACCTTCACTTAAAGACAAAAGTGTTTATAATGAAGCTGACACACGCGGCCCAGGCGTATAGACAATACTTGTGACTGGATGTGTCACCTCCTATCGGCTAATTATGTTATTTTTTGCTAAATAAATATCTCATCAATAGCTTTTTCCAGCTCACAATCACCACTTTTTCCTCAGAAATACTTTTTTTAAGTGCACGGCCAGGACAGCTGAGTTCGTCACCCCCAGCCCGTGCCAGGCTAGGTGCACCTTGTGGAAGTGGTGTGGTTGGTGGTGGTGACGGGTGGTTACATATTAGTTATACGACTATCGTTACTATCGAAATAAAGTATAAATAGATCACCTTCACTTAAAGACAAAAGTGTTGTTAATGAAGCTGACACACGCGGCCCAGGCGTTTTAACAATTATTGTGACTGGATGTGTCACCTCCTATCGCCAATTATTTGTTATTTTTTGCTAAATAAATAACTCATCAATAGCTTTTTCCAGCTCACAATCACCACTTTTTCCTCAGAAATACTTTTTTTAAATGCACGGCCAGGACAGCTGAGTTCGTCAACCATAGCCCGTGCCAGGCTAGGTGCACCTTGAAGCCATTGTGGAAGTGGTTTGGTTGGTGGTGGTGACGAGTGGTTACATATATTTGTTAAACGACTAACTATCGTTACTTTTCGATTTAAAGCTTTCGTGACTTCAGGGATTCATCTTCTTGGTTTTTTCGGTAAAGTCACGTAGAAG